AAACAATTTAAAACCCTTTGGGATGCAATCATGTGGAATTGTGTTCTCAGATTTATAGTGAACAAGTCAGGAGAAGGAATTCATTGCAGAGCTATCATCTTTCAGCTCCTCTCTCTATTGTTCCAAGCTATTTAGCCCAGACCCTTTTCTGGGGGGTGGGCGGGCAGGGTGGAGCAGAAGAGAGAGGCTGCCGGATTCCTCTTTCACATATAACCCCATTGTGATGAACAATGAACTAAAGAAAATGAAAGTGCTTGGTTACAGCTATTGTTTCCTGCCTCTTGAACAATACTGTAATAGAGGCTTTTGTCACACTGGCTGAGATGATGGACCAGCCCTACTCCAAGACATATTGGGGGGGCATCCTATTGAAATGAACTGGCTGTACTGTCTGCAGATGGCGGGGCAGTGGCAACGATTGGTCTGTAATCTTCCTGTAAGTTTCATGGCTGAATGGGAAAGTGAACCTGGACAACCCACAAAGCTAGCTCAAGAAAAGTTTCTGTCTTAAGGCGGATTCCCCATCCCTGTGTTTTATTCAGACAGTCCTCTCTGTTTAATGGCAGAAGCATCTCTTGTGCTCTCTGTCCTAATCTGGCATTCTAATTAGTATGCCTTGGATTTCTTATGTAGTAATGTAGTAGTAAATGCAGTGTGTCAGGAGCTCACCTTTCTAGTGTACGTGGCCCTCCAAACAAAGAGCAGCAGTAATACATGCAATACCCATATTACCTGTGATACCCATTTTATTGCTGAAGAACCTGCAGTTTTAGAAAGTGAAGTGAAAGCCATCTTCAAAGCACTTGGAAAAAAATAAATCACCTGATGGGTCAATATTTAGGCAAGAGAATTATTGCAAGTGACGGAGAGTAATGCAGTCCAAGAAATGGAAAGAAATACCTTGCTTCAGCTTGATCATAGGTAATATTATCAAATTCCTTGAACATCTCATATATCTGAAAAACCCTATTAACGTTGCTATGATTGAAAAGTGATTTGATTCATAGCAACAACATCCTTATTAAAAGCCTCCCCGAGAAAGGATTTTGTTGCTTTCAAACATGACATTTTTAAAAAAAAAAAGAAAAAGAGAATTGCTTTATTTCTTATATAATTTTTCATACTTTCTTCAAAAAAACCTCTTCTTTTAGATTGATGAGAGAATGGCAGATGACTTTGGGGGGGGGGCGAGATTGGAAAAATACCCTTAAAATAGCAGTAAGCAACTTTGGTGCAGCCGGGAGGCAAATCAATACCCCAAGCACTACTGAGAATATGAAAAAGTAGGAAGGGGGAAAGCATGGCCGAATAGCCACTTATTACTTTGATTTAATGTTGCTGGGAGGATGGAATTTGGAGAGTTGTAAACCAGCCCCTCCTCCACCATGCATCACTCTTCTAAGAAAAGAAAAGCACCTTTCTGTTATTGAGGGGAAAAACTCTACACTGAGAATGTTTGGGAGATGCAAAAACAGCCTTCGTGCCAGTGGTGGTGATTTGCCCATCTTGACCTCAAAAGTAACTAGTCAGCTTTACAATGAACAATTGCCAGAGATTAAATTTCTTGCACGATTTCTGAAACATAACTTTGTTTCACACTGGTTAGCAAACCGAAATGAAGACAACAACAACAACAACAACAACAACAACAATAGCAACAACAACAACAACAACAACAACAACAATCATCATCATCATCATCATCATCATCATGAAACAGAAAATATCCAGCTATAGGTGAACACATTAACCATGGCAAAATATCTTAATTGCTCACTCAAAATCAATTTGATGAATGAAAGTGTGCCACAGCAAAATCAAATTTTCCATTAAGAAGATGTGATACAGTCCAATGTACTTTCACACAGGCTAAAATTGGCTTTACTGAGGAGCTGAAATATCAATATGGTGAAGTGTGTTCTTTATATGCCCTTTAGGTTGGTTAAATGACTTTCTTTTTTTTTAAAAAAAAAAATCTTGCATTGTACTATGCTAGTCATGCAAAGAAACATAACTTTGTTTCACACTGGTTAGCAAACCGAAATGAAGACAACAACAACAACAACAACAACAACAACAATAGCAACAACAACAACAACAACAACAACAACAATCATCATCATCATCATCATCATCATCATGAAACAGAAAATATCCAGCTATAGGTGAACACATTAACCATGGCAAAATATCTTAATTGCTCACTCAAAATCAATTTGATGAATGAAAGTGTGCCACAGCAAAATCAAATTTTCCATTAAGAAGATGTGATACAGTCCAATGTACTTTCACACAGGCTAAAATTGGCTTTACTGAGGAGCTGAAATATCAATATGGTGAAGTGTGTGCTTTATATACCCTTTAGGTTGGTCAAATGACTAGATAAATAGGTACCACCTCAGTGGGAAGGTAAAATGACGTTCCCTAGTCACGCTGGCCACGTGACCATGGAAACTGTCTTCGGACAAGTGCTGGCTCTACGGCTTGAAAACGGGGATGAGCACTGCCCCCTAAAGTCGGACACAACTGGACTGAAAATGTCAAGGGGAACCTTTACCTTTACCTTTTAGTCATGCAAAAAGGAGAAAATGCTATTTCTACAGGATCATGTGAAATTTGAAAGAATTAATCACAAAGTTCAGACAACCGTGTATTGAAGATGGAGGTCAGAAGTAATAAATATATGCCATAAAAAATACGCAAAGCAGCAATAACACTACACAACTTTCAAGTGGCCGAGATGCTTCCCATGCATTTAGCTGGATCTGGAAGAGACCTGCCCATGGCCGCCCAGTGAGTAAGTGGCAGAGAAAAGATTTAAAGGTTGATTTAAAGGATTTCCTGAGAAGTTTCTTAGCACCTGTGCAAAACCTGCTTCTTAACACCTCCCTCCAACATTTCAAGGGGGCACTCTTTTTCCCTACCTGGAGCTGCCTGGGACTCCATGATGCATTAGCTAGTTTGCCTGCATGATATCAGGTAACAAATTAAATCAGCAAAATCAAGATTCTAGACATCTGTCACCTTTGAGTCACCCTGAGTATAAAGCTTTGGGTAAGAATAAATGACAGTTGAAAATAAAACTGCAAAGTCTAGACAAGCCTTCCTTAACACCTGGCGCGCTCTTGTTGCTTTGAACCACATATCTCGTCACACTTGCCTGTGGGTCATACTGGCTGATGCCGATGAGTATTATAGTCCTAAGTACATGGAATCCTAGAATAATTGAGTAGGTAGGGGCCTATAAGTCCATGCTCAAGGCAGGAATGAAAGTCACAGCGGATCTGACAGATGGTTGTTCAATTTTCTCCTCAGTGACTCCAGCGTTGGAGCACTTACTGCCTTCTGAGGTAACTGATTCTGTTGTCGTACTGCTCTGTTATGAGGTTTTCCTGATATTCAGCTGAAATCTGGCTTCCTGTAACTTGAGACCATTGTTGCATGTCTTGCCCTCCTCTGTATGATGATCTTTCAAGTATTTGGAGAGTGCTATCCATTCTTCTTTTCTCAAGGATAAACATGTCCAGCTCTTTCAGTCTTTCCTCACAGAGCTTGGTTTCCAGTCCCCTGATCATCCTTGTTGCCCTTCTCTGGACTTACTCCAGTTTGTTGGCATCTTTCTTGAAGTGTGGTGTCCAGAACTGGACACAGTACTCTAGATGAGGCCTAACCAGTGCTGAATGGGGACTAGTACCTCACGGGACTCGGAAAATATACAGTTGTGTGGCCAAAAATATTGGTAACCTTCCAATTCTGTCAGAAAATGCAACCCTTCTCTCAGAAAAATTGTTGCAGTTGCAAATGTTTTGGTACTCACATGTTCCTTTTGTTTGTTTGTTTGTTTGCATTGGAACAACACAAAAACACAGAGAAGAAAAATCAAATTGGATGTGGAACAACACAAAAATACAGAGAAGAAAAATCAAATTGGAGATGCAGCTTTCTGACACTGGCCACTACGTTGCACCCCCAAATTCTTTGGCAATCATCAGATTTCATGATACCATTCACACAGTCAAGGCATCCAGTGCCAGAAGCCCCAAAGCAACCCCAATGTTTGACTGTAGTGCAAGCTGATACTGTTGTAACCTGTGTCTTCAGATCAGCTTGAATTTGTTGGGAAGTTAATCTGGGTTCTGTATCCATCATTTGAACAACCCTTCATTGTAATTTTTCAGTAATTTTGCTCTTCTGTCCATGGCCAGGGAGTGCCATGGGCCGTAAACCCCTTGATGATATTACGCACAGTAGACACAGAAACATTAAGATCTTTGGAGATGGACTTGTAGCCTTGAGATTGTTGATTTTTTTTCCACAATTTTCTCTCTCAAATCCACAGACAACTCTTTACACTTCATTCTTTTCTCCATGCTCAGTGCCACACACAACAGAAAGGTTGAGTCAACTTTTCTCCATCTTAACTGGTTGCAAGTATGATTACTATATTGCCCACACTTCTTACTTGTGACAGGTGTGTCTAAATACAAATTCAAAGAGCATCACATGCTTGAAAAGCAATTATTTCTTACAATTTAGAAAGGGTGCCAATAATTTTGGCCAGTGCATTTTTGGGTGCCTGTGTGGGATTGTATCAGATTTGACTTTTCTTCTCTGTTTTCTGGTGTTGTTCCAATGCAAACCAAAGAAATAAACAGGTGAGTACCAACACATTTGCAACTGCAAGCATTTTCTGAGAGAAGGGTTGCATTTTTTGACAGAATGGCAAGGGTGCCCATATTTTTGGCCATGACTGTCCTTCAGTTAATGTATCCTAAAATAACATTGGCCTTTTCTGCAGCCACATCACACGGTTGGCTTATATTCAGCTTTTCATCTGCAACAATTCCAAGATCCTTCTCACTCATAGTATTAATATGTTTCTTTTGGACTACAATACAGTGCATATTCGTTAGATGTTCGAATCCGGGACAAAATAAAAACATCCCTATAAATTAACTTTGTTGTCTTTTTGTGTCTGTTTTCCGAAAACTCTTTTGTAGGCCAAATTTACTGATGACTGCAAGTTCAGGGAGCGGTTTCAGGAAAACAGCTACAACACCTATGCCTCTGCCGTTCACAGGACTGAAAGAACGAGAAGGGAATGGTACGTGGCTTTGAACAAAAGGGGAAAAGCCAGAAGAGGATGCAGCCCCCGAGTAAAACCCCAGCATATTTCCACACATTTCCTCCCCAGGTTCAGGCAAGAGGAACCACCAGAACTAGCTTTTACTGTCGCTGTTCCAGAAAAGAAGAAACCACCTGTTGTCATCCCAGCAAAGCCAAAGGTTTCATTGCCCATGTCTCGGAAAAACTCTCCTCCTGTCAAATACAGACTCAAGTTTCGCTTTGGATAGTAATCCCTGAACTCTTCAACTAAGGAATGTTATATATGTATTTTTTTTCCTCCTCCTCAAGAGCGGTTGCTTATATGTGATTCCATAGAGTGGAATGGCAAAGGAGACTCTGAGGTAAATTTCAGCTCCAAGGGGAGATTCTCTTAGGATTCTCTTGATGCCCAAGATGAATGGCTTTTTGGTTAATTAGGAAGGAAGTGGGATTCTCCAGCTAGTCTGTGGAGAAATGCACGAAGGGAGTTCAGAAGGTCAGGAAGACATTTTGAGTGTTGCCTTAGTTTCTCAGTCTCATCTTTCTTCTCTCCAGTTCTCGGGCATGGATTGTCCTCTGCTGACTTTTACTGGCTGCTCAGAAATAATGAACTGTGGAGTTCTTGTTAAAATGTGAAAGATTACCTCATATGTTGATCTGTTTTTTTTTCCCTGTTGGATTTAATTGTGTGCGGGTTCGTTTGTTTTTCTTACTGTGATCTTTTCCCATGAGGAAAAGGGGAAATTGCCATTTCTCTGTTCCTGCCTCCTGTTACTTTTTTCTGCACTTTTAAGGGGGAAAAAATTGAAAATACCTCAGACAAATAGATGGTGGAAGATGGATTTGCTCAATTGATTTATTTGGTGATTTAAAATGGGAACAATGCATACACTTTTAAATTTGGTGTGATGGGAAAATAGAGTTTATAAAAAGCATTGTGAAGTTCGTAAAGGCTGTGCTTTTAAAAAAAATTAGCAGCTTTGGTGCCTATTCAGTGGCTTTGAAGCATCCCCATAGTCTCCAACATATTGTTTGAAACTGATCTTAAAAATATAACTTTTTTTGGCCTGTAAACCCAGGAGATTCTGGGGACTGAAATGTTTAAAAAGCAACTTTTCCCAAGCTGGTGAGTATAATCACTAGGGTATCAAGATCATCCAGAAGTATTGGAAAATTTCAGTTCAGTTTGGTGGATGTATGGGCTGAGCATTTCCTTAAAGTCAATATATCCAAGATATTTTAAGGGAAGCCCAAAGTGGTTTAACTGGGAACATTGCATGGAAGGTATGGAGTGGGTAGCTGGGCTTTTGTATCCCCACTTCACCTACATCAGCATTTCCCAACCTTGAGTCCCCAGGAGTTCTTGGACTAAAACTCCCAGAAGCCTTCACTGCTATCTGGATTTATGGGCATTCTAGTCCCAGAACATGTGGGGACCCAAGACTGGGAGCTGCTGGTTTACACCGTGTGGGCATGAGGGGGAAGGGGCACTATTCATGCAAAATCTTTCAATGAGAAATATCAGCTGGATGCGAGTCCTTATGCAGTGAATAAACCTGTCCCCTCTCGTGGAAAGGAAATAAAGGGTGGACCAAGCCAGATTGCCTTGGTTGGAATGCAATTTGCCCTGAACAGCCTGATTTTTTCTTTTAAAAGACCAGCTACCATTTCTGTGATAGATTCGATGCTCGGGGAATGGTGTGGTTCTAATGAACCTGCAGTTCCTTCTGTATTTCCCATACTTTTCTGTTCCAAAAAAGAGAAGGTGGCACATTGGGTTGAAATTCCTCCCCAGGAATAATGAGTGAACAAGCTAGGACTGGCCCAAGATATTTTGCCACCAGATCCAGAGCAGAAAATTCCAGCATCCTCCAGAAGTCAAGATGCATGGTATCTTGTTGGTGCTGTTATAGGCCATCGTATACATTTAGTATACATTTTAGCATGTATACATTACTGAAACTGAAACATCTAGGTTGGCTTGGGCACGCCGTGAGAATGGATGACTGTCGGATTCCAAAATTTCTCCTGTATGGAGAATTAGTGCAGGGAAAGCACCCCAGAGGGAGACCACAGCTGCGATACAAGGACGTCTGCAAGTGGGATCTGAAGGCCTTAGGAATGGACCTCAACAGATGGGAAACCTTGACCTCTGAGCATTCAGCTTGGAGGCAGGCAGTGCATCATGGCCTCTCCCAATTTGTCCAGCAGGCCGAGGCAAAGAGGCAGTCCCAAAACCAGCAAAATCAGGGAGCTGGACAGGGAACAGATTGTCTTCAATGTGGAAGGGATGGTCACTCTTGAATTGGCCTTCTCAGCCACACTGGACATTGTTCCAAGATCGCTATTCAGAGCACGTTACCCTAGTCTCTCGAGACTGGAGGATGCCTACATTATTACAGGCCATCAAGTTACCTCCAGTCCCTGGCGAGCCTATGAATGAGTGACCTCCAAAATGTCTGACCCTAGCTAACAGCAAAGACATCCAGGCAGCTATTGGGCTGAAGTTACAGGAAGCCAGATTTCTGTTGAATATCAGGTAAAATTCCCTAACTGTTAGAGCAGTACAGCAATGGAACCAATTACATCGGCAGGGGGTGAGTGCTCCAATGCTGGAGGCATTCAAGAGAAAATTGGGCAACCACCTGGCAGATCTGCTTTGATTTGTATTCCTGCATTGAGCAGCTGGTTGGATCCAATGGCCTTAGAGGCCCCCTTCCAACTTATTTTATGATTCTATTGCTTCCCTCAGCATCACCTACATATGTGGTGAACCTGGAGCTTTTTTGGGGCTACAGCTTCCAGAATCTGCAAGCCAGTAAGGTCAGGTTGGGTGCGAAATCCAAGGGAGATGCGATTTAAGAAATAGAACTAAATTTGTGAACCTTGGGAAACTCTGGTTTGCACTCCCAGTGTGAAATGAAACAAAACCGTTGTGTGACTCCATCTCTACCTCTGTTTTGTAATTCTTCTTCTCTCCCAAAGGGTTGATTCCAATTCATGTAGAATTTGTTCACGTTTCTTTTTGTTAAGATTAATACTTGCATTTGAATTCTGTGCCGTTGGGTTAATCCCACCCACCTCGCCCCATTCCTGTTTTTCTTCACATGTTCTAAGGTAGCACAAAGGTGTGTTTTACCTTCCCCCCCCCCACCCTGAGAGGCGAAGGAGGGAATGAAGAGGTAAGGAGGGGATCTCTTCTGTTGCATGTTCTCTCCTGCTGTTCCTTGGACAGCTGGGAGAACATGTCTGATTCTGTCCATCAACATCATCGCTCCAGTGTCTGTGTTTAAAATACTTCTGCCATGACCCTGTGGAATTCATGCTATTATAGGTCCAAAGAAAGAGCAAGAGCCAAGCAGAGAGAGAGAGAGACATAGAGAAAGCGGCTGTTCCTGCTTTATAGGAGAGATGGAGGAAAGCAAGACCTACCCTATAGGTGGATCAGATAACAGCCAGTGCTGTCATGGCCTATTAACCAGTGTTCTACTCAGCTAGCAAAACCCTTTCTCTCCTGAGACATTTTTTCCCCAAAGATGAACAGTCTGTTTTGACCTTCTTGGCTTATTGCGACTGTTGAAAAGCTAGCCATGTGCTATACAGCATCATACCATTTTTTGGTATTATGGAGTTGAAGTTCCAAACAAAAGACCAAGCCAGGCTCTAGGCAGGGTCTTTATGGGTGAACTTTATTTTCAGCTCCGAATCATTTATTGAAAGGGAAAAGTAGACCCCAGGTTAAAAGGTGTGATATTCTTGGTGACCCTGACGGACAAAGATGCTACAGTTAGCACACTGTTGGGAACAGCAGTTGCTTAAGTTTAAAAATACTTCTGCTTGTCATAGCATCGGTTTTTCTGGTCTGTAACATGTAAATTCTGGGGTTTTGTGATTGGGCATCATAAGGGGAACAGGAGCTCCACAGAAGGTGAAACACATCAACATAGCAAATTAATTTGCAAGACAAGGAGGTAAGAATTTTTGTGCTATGACGAACAGATGGCTTTCAAGAAATTAAAAAATTGGTGGTTCCAACAATTTGCTGTCTGGACCATCTAGACTCCCAAAATACATCTATATCAAATGAAGCCAAGACTGACCTCTTCTACTGTGCCACCCTTTAGATATGCTGGATTACATTTCCCACGGGCCTCAGTCAGCCTAGCCAAAAGTCATGCACTATGGAACAATAATTCAGAACATCTAGAAGGCATCAGGTTGGGGAAGGCTGGATTAGACAGACATTCTTTGGTCCGATTCTGTTCAATGGACCCATGAGAGACATCTCATGGAGAAAAAAAATACTGATGTGTGATTTCTTTAAATCATGTATTTATTATCAAAGACACTGCATATAAGAAAATATTTAATTTCATAAAAGGCAATAAGCAGTGGTGTAGATATTTGAAAGAACTTTTTTTCCACAATCACTGTAAATTTGTGCAACTTTACATTTCAGTGGTGACACTATTTACATGTTTCGAGAACATAATCATGCATAAAGTCGAACTGTGTTGTATCGGTAAAACAAGTATCTGAAACTGGAACCAATCACCGATTAAGCCTTAACGGATGTTCTTGTCTTTTCTTAAAGTGTGCTTTGTCCTTAGAATGCTTAGTTTATGACCTGACCATTGAAGCTGTCCCTTTAAGAGCTCCTTGCCATGAAAAGCATCACATGATGGATTCTGTGCAAAGCTTGGAAATGCACTTATTGGAATTACAACCCACATAATCACCTAGCCAGCTATCTGGAGGGATTCTGGGAGTCATAGTCTAAGCAGGTAGCTTTTCCTTCTGTGGCTCAGGCCTCTGTTAAATGTATAAAAGTAAACCAGATTAGCTACTTATTTTTTGCCCCAGGGCTGATCAGCGATCTTACTTCCAATTGTGGAAGCAATAATGAAGCTATCTGATCAAGACCATATTGACTGCAAGATGAATAAACATGTTCCATACTATTTAATCCACATTTCAGGAAAGGACACCTCTCTCTTTCCTTGAATTATTATGATCATCACCCTTTTTAATAGTGACTTATTTCACATGGAGCTTAAAAGGAACAGCTCATTGTTTCTACTTTCTGAAATGAACATGTGTGTTTATGGAAAAAAGGTTTTCATAGACTCATCATCTGCCACTAAGCATTTTGCTAATAATAATGCTGTAATAAAGTACACCTATGCTGACTTGTAAAGAATACTGAACAAATGTAGACTTTTTTAAAAATAGAACTCTAAAAGAATTA